TTTTCTTTGTTGGAAAAAATGTTATTGAGCTTCATTTGAATATCTTTTCTGAAATATCATCTCTTGACTTGGGCTTACGGCTCCTGCTTTTGAAACTGTATATGTTTATTTTACTTAGTAGTAGAATGTTAAAAGAATAAAATTACTACATATTGACTTACTGAAAAAAATAGATATCTTAATTCCATCAACCCCTACATTCCTCACTCTTGCACACCCCAAGACAGAAAGAACCCTTTATTTGATTCATAATGTAATCTAAGCAAAATGTAGTGGTTCTGGCTTTCCTTCAGTGTTTGTAGATCACATATAAACCCCAATTATGATAGTCAAAAACTTAGAAATACTAATATTTGTTCCAGCTTTTCAGTTTCTGTAAAAAACATACATATTTGAACCATATGCAGCATGGTATATGTAATATAGGTGCATAAGCATTTAAATATATGGTTTAAGTATCTGGTTACCTAAACAGCCATTAAGATATTGGGATGTAGAAGCATATTAATTTTGTTAAATGGGTGCATAAACTGCATGTGTAATAGTGTCTGCATGACTTACTACTTTGAAATAACTGCTTTTATTGTTTCTTTCTGTCATGACAAAAGTATTACACAATTTATTTTAGTTGTGCATTTTTCTGTTGAGTTGGAGGTTCTCAGTTATATACCATTAAAACCAAAATGTTGGAAAATAAATTCTCAAAAGCCAGTTGGGAGTACATGTAACAGGATTGAAGGCCACGTTTACTGGCAGTGCTGATTTCTTTTAATTTTCTTATTGAAACATATGATTGTTTCTTAACCACAGGAACAATTCAGACAAATAAGAAACTATCATAATAACAGAGTATTTTTCTTAAAATATTATTTTATTTAGAATTTCATTTTATATGGAAAGCTCCTGTTTGATTTCAGGTTGCAGAACTGTACTTCCAGAAGAGTTGGAGTGAATTTAGTAGTTATGATTAGTGCAGTGAGAAGACTGGGGGTCTCACTGAAGAATAGATTGATATATAGTTACAGCCAGAGCTGTATTTCTCCCACTGCAGGCTTAGGCGAGATAAGCCTGAACATCACCTCAGAGAATTTATCATCAGAAATGAAAGCTCCTCATTCTTTGCTGATCTTTAGTGAAATAATATTCTCATGAACTGGAATTTTTTTCATACTTTTTACAATGAAAAGACTAGGAAGAAATGAAATGAACTAGGATTGTTCAGCCTCCCTGCCGTGAAAGGTGAAGAGACAGATGCATGGTACTACAGCAGGGAAGTTGCATTCTTTTTTTTTCCTTTTTTTTTTTTCTATCCCTCCCTTTCTTCCTTCAACTACTGCTTGGTTTTGGGATAGTGTGTATATGATTTTGAAGACAATATCTTCATTAAAATTTTCTAAAGGATAAAACTTGCTATTAATATTTATGCCTTTCTCTTTGTAATTTTTAAGGTGTACAGATCTTGCTTTTACATACATTACTAGGCTATATTACTTTTCAAGAAAACAGAACAAAGAAAATATGTTCAACGGTTACTCTTCCTTGATCTAAAATTGTCCTTCTACAGCTAGGATCCTTCTCCATTTGGCCATAGCTGCTGGACTGCCAAAGAATTTCTGTCTCAGTCTCTGTTCTCTTCCATAATCACCCTTCTTCTCCTAACCAGCTTTCCTTCCCCCCTCACAAAAGAAGGAAGTTATAAAACAACCTGCTTTCACCTCAATATCTTCCTGATAAATATTGAGTCTAATTCCCTCCCAATCCGTTTTTTAATTTCATTCATTTTCTTTTTGGGGGGATAATGGTGCCTGGGGGTTCATGAGATGGGAAGAACATGGGGCTGAGAGGAGAGTTGGATTACTACAGACACAGACTCGCAGACACTTTCAAGCCTAGTCCTAGGAGCTGGTGGCTGTTCTTTCACCTAAGCAATAAACCTTGGCAAGTTTACAGCTCACAAAAGCATTTTTCCCTTCTTCTGAAGAAATGGGCTGAGCTTTACTTGCCAGACCACCACCAGTTACGAACATCTTTAACCTGCTCTCTTCCCTCCAGGTATACTCCCTTTACTTCATTATCCTCTTTATGTCTCTCTATCCCTAAAGGAATCAAGAGTTCATCCTGGGGGGTCTAATTCCTACTTCTTATGTCTTGCCCTATGGGCTGGCTTCCTTAGGGCCAGTGATCCCTTTGGACTCATAGGAACCTCAGTGACTCAGCCCTTCTCAAACTCCTCAGCTTTGTAAACTTGCTTCCCAAATAGGACAGCTTGCCCACTCACCAGCAGGGCTCCAGCCAGAAGGCACCTGGTCCTTTTACCCAAGAATCCCTTCACACGTCTGCCTCCGCACCCAGTTTCCCGCCCCCACCCCCCGGCCAAGGTTGGTTTATTTGGGAATGTCATCTGCAGGGCAGCATGTCCATAGCAATAAAGGGGAGTGGATACAAAAATTCTCAGTGCCATTGAAAAGACCTACCATATTAGACCAAGGGAGTCTCTATTAGGAAACTTGGGTTGGAATAGATCATCCATTTAACCAGTGAAACAAGAAATCAGAGAAATGCCTGACTGCAGCTGTGAACCACAAATTTCAGATAGAAATGGATTACATCTTCATCCTGTCAGCCAGATAAATTATTTTAAAATTGTTTCTGCTATTATTTGCATTATTATTATTAAGTTTATTTTTGTCATTATTGTAATTTTTGTTATTTATTTTTGTTGTTGTTGCAGCTATTATACTATTCAACAGAAGTTTAGAAAGATTAGTCAGATTAATTAGTTTATTGGTAATTTAAAGCTGAAAACTAGTAATTAAGCCAAAAACTAAAAATGATCAGGGATGATTCATACTAATGTAGGATTTGGGAGGAAGAGAACCTAAGTTTTGGACATAAAATTTGGCAGCTGTGAAATAAATAGGACTTGGGGATAAAAAAAAATAACTGAAATTTTCTTAGTCATTCAATCACTCCCCCTCCCCCAAATTCAGCTAAGATTATTCTGTATTTGCTTGGTAGAGGAAAAAAAATTCTATTTGTTTTTGTTGACAGGGAACAAAGATCCCATGTATGTTCTTCATGTGATTTGCATTTTCATGTGGATTCCCTCTGCTCAGGACCAACCAAACATTTAAGATCACTTCCCTCCAAGTTTGACTCTTTTATCTCTTTGCTCTTGTTAGGCACCTCTCTGAAGAGGGTGCATCATATAAGACAGGTATACAATTTCAGCCCTCTCAGACATTCTGTGGAATACAAATTCAATAATGCAATTTTCTTCACAACATGCTCTGTTCTCTTTCAAATATAATTAATGTTTTGATAGTATAGTTCTTTAACTACATACATACACACAAAAACAGACATACCCTCTAGCTTTGCTGTTTGTGTATCTAAAGCAGAAGTGGATGCAGGCCTTTGAGTGACTCCTAAAATTCCTCAACTCCAGCCCACAGAGAAGAAATCTGTTTAGGTAAAAACTGCACAGTCTGTTGCCTATGCAAAAATACGTAAAACAATTAAAAATTGTAAGCTCCTAGGATTTAATACTAATTTTTCTGTTAAATTTCCTAGAAAATAAAGGATATTCTGAATTGATCATTTGATACAGACATTTACTAGAGAACAGTTAAAATAAACAAAAACACTGTCCTAAAACCCTGGTTGTCTTTTCCAAGTTTTGATGATGGAAATTGAATTTCAAACTCTTCCATTTTATCCAATTGGTGCTAAATTGACAGATGTATAAAAACTAGCAACCACAATAACATAACTACAATGACTTACATTAAAAAATTGCTTACTCTATCAAATACCTCAGCTGTATATTTTGGTTGAATTAACTCTCTTAATTGCTATCAGTTGTATATAGACATATTTGTATGTGAAATAGATGGTCCCAACAGACAGACACAGATATGTAGATCACATTATGGCCAATAGGAGTTAAGTGAGTAAATCCTGAGCTTCCACACTCAAGTGTACTATATCCCTAAAATTTCATTTCTTCAAATGGATTACAATTAAAAGAGAACAAATAACCTTGCAGATTGCAGGGAATCACATATTTTCTGTCTTTCATATAGAAAATATGTATTATGTAATGCTTAATCCAATAAAAATATAAGCTTTGGTCTCCCTATGTTGTTACTGAGTTGAAGAAGTTAGATCTGTGGCACTAGAATACTGATTTCCAAGCATCATGGCCATTTTGTATGAATTATGAATATATAAAAAATGCTGGTAGGGGAAATATGTGACACATTTCTTTCCACAGATTTTTTAGAGGGAATGTGTGAAAGATTTTATAAAAATCTTTTAAAGTTTTTTCTTAATCTTCATGTGATATTTAATGTTTGGAATTATTAAAGAAGATAAAAGAATCAATAAGGAAGGGAGAACACGCGACTGATTTCAAATAGGTCTTACTGAATGAGAAAGAAAATATTTTCCAGTGCAGTTTTGCAAAAAAAGAGGGAGGGTATAATCAGTGAAAATCTCATTTGTATTTTTTTGTTATGATTTTAGATAATAGCCAGCTAGGGTTCCTTTTCCATTACTTTGCTCCAAACTCTTTTCCTTGAAAGCATAAATGTGTAAACGACTTACACCTTTATTCTCTCACAGGCTAATACACAAACAACAAATATTTTCGTTAAATACTTGATAGAAAAAGCCCTTACAGGTCTACAAATTCGGTCTTAGTACAAGACTACATTACCAGTCCAGTTGTTTAGATACAAGTGACCTGACATTCGCCTTTAGTGAGCTATAAAGCAATATATAAAAGGAAGATTTTTACAGCATTGATCAGCAGTGATGTGTGAGCTATCAAGAAGAAATTATCCCTTAGACATTTTATATTTGTTCTGATTCTTCCTCCTTATTCCTTTCTTCCAATTTGTTCTTTGAGAGAGACACGACTAATTCTCTGATTTTCCAAATGAGGTTTTGTTTGGCTCAGATTAATATTAAAGAAGATCACATACACGGTCGAAAAATATTGTTATTTTTCTTTAATGGGGAAAATTGGACTCCCGCGTGTCAGATCTGTGGATTTCCGAAAGGCAATGGAAATGGTACTGACATCACTTTGCACTTTAACAATCGGATTTGGTCAGGGTACAAGTTGTTTGTTTAACCCGACAGCTCGGTGCACCCCGTCGCACGCTTTGCACACTCATTAAAACGATTATTCACGACCTGTCGAGTGTTTTCGGGTTCATTCACAGGAAAGGCTTGGAGCGAGGGAGAGCAATTCAAGTCAACACTGTCCACTACCCCTATGCACGTGAGGACGAGTAGCTGCGTGCGTAAAAAGACGGAGGGAGGGGTGGGTGAGTACGCCTTAGCTATAAGTCCTGTTCATCCGATGCTCTGGAATCTCAGTCTGGACAGAATGCCAAGAACGCTTGGTCCTACAAGGACCACGTCGTTGCTACGTTAACTTCGAGGGCTTGGCACAAGACAGAAAAAAAAAAAAAAAAAAGGAAAATAAAATAAATAAACTCAAAACTCTCCCTCTGCTCCTCTTTTCAACCTTCTGCAAAACTTTTTAAGTCCCAGGACTCGCCCACCTTTGGTCTGCAGCCACCCGCCGGACTGAGAGCAGCTTCACCTCTCACAGCGCGGACGCTAAGGATAAGTAGTTTCAGGAAAGCTCGTCAGGGTGAGAAGATTAATTCCTTTTCCATCTCCCAAGGCCCTATCGTTCTAAAAATAAAAAATAATAAATAAATAAATAAATATTAAAAAAAAAAAAACATTGCTATATTCCTTGCACAGACTGGGGGTGGTTGGTTGGCCCAAAAGATGAAGAATAGGGCTGTTAACAGTATTTGGTAAATGTATTACAAACTGTTAACAAGGAAGAATTAATCCTCCAAACTTCAATAAAAGTCCTACAAAATGATCATTAAATAGCCCTCAATAAATTAGGTCACTTTTTTTCTCTCAATTTTAAAGTCATCTTTAAATATTTTGTAATGGTGATAAGAGAGGCACAGACATTAACGCATCTCAATATCCCACTGTTGCTCTGTGCTTATAAAAGGCACACTACGGGGTCTTTAGTTTTCCTATTTGTTCAAATGAATTCTGATATGTAACATTCCTGTGAGATATCAGTTCAAGAGATGTCTATCTTTGTAAGTTATAATCACACATAATGTTAAATAATACAAAATATGAGTGTGTGTGTATATATATATATATATATACACACACACACATACTATATACTCAAGAACTCCAGATTGTCTCATTCAGCCTAAGTACCCCTGGCATAATTCAGAGTTAATAGATGTTTTAAAACACATGTATTATGTCTATATTCAAATGATTGCTACTTGATTTTTCGTAAACAGCATTAATAAACTCAATGGCCAGCTTATTGTTATGAGGGTAACTTTATCATGCCAATGGAAAAAGACAACAAAGCTCATTTAGCAGTTTCATTCTATTATATCTGACATCACAAAATCATCTATTTTTCTATTTTATTGAAGCACATCAATACAATGTATGAAGAAAAGAATGGAAGTTTTCAAGCAGCATGAGGTTTTAATCAGAAACAGATTCCTAATTGCTAAAAAGCAAGTATGAATAAGTAATTTCATAATCTCCTTGGGTTGCCATAATTCACTATCAGGTTTACTTAAAATGGATCTGTCAAGTGTGTTTCGCTTCCTATATAAGCTCTTTCATTAAAAGCAACCCACGATAATAATCAAGAGGCAGATGCTGAAATATGTAAGTAAATAACTGAAAGTCTCTGCATAAATAAACACAAATCAATGTAGTAATAGACAACACTATTGATGTAGGAATGATCGATTTTAGTTTTCTAACCTGCAAGCAGAGATTGTAATGTATAATTAAAAGTATATTTTTCAACTCCATTAATACTACTACTGGAAAAAAAATTCTTTCTGCCAGTTCTACCTGAATCTACTTTATTTCTTCTAGTGTATTTCTGATGGGATGGGAGGAGTACTCTGTTTTTTCTACAAAAGCTTTGCCAAACTTTAAAATGACATCATTAATTATATAAATTATAAAAGTATCAAATAATAAAATTACCACCTAATTCTTGCTCTGAATTTTTCAACCTTTATCCCAGCCTCTAATTATTCATTCAGCACATTTTAATAGGAAAAACACACAATAGTGCTTATTATTTTTAAAGATCTTTTTCAACTACTGTAGTACATTTTGGTTTAAATATTCTTCGGGCCTTTTGTTGAAACAAATAAGATGTCATTTCCTCAGTACACTATGGAAGCTCTCACACCTATACTTGCATATGGAAGCACCATGAAACAAACAAGGAGAAAAAAAAAACTGCGTTGTTTCATATTGTTTCATATAATGATTGCAAAACAAACTAGTATCTGACTTAAAGAAATAAATATAATTTGGATTTCTAGAAATTCACATCTAAAACAATGTTTTAGATTTTGCTAAAAGTTAAATTTTCTTTTTGAGAATATGTATCCCTGGAAGGCCGAATTGACTTAGATTAGCAAGCACCAGTATGTGATGAGTTTGAATATTTAGATTCTGGAGAGTAATGAAAATACAGTGTTCATATTTTTTCTTCATCAACAAAGATGCTTATTTACATTCATTCTTGAATCCAGGCTTCTCCAGCACAAGCCTTCAAAAGAATGTCTTCTTTATGAAATTCAGCTACTTTGAAAGGGATTTTTTTTCCTATGTGATATCACTGGCACACAAATATTGATTTTCATTGTCTTTATAATATTGTATCACAAAACACTCTCTCAGACTTCTCTCCCATCCAGGGCCAAGAATTCAAGGGCAACCGAATCCAAAAGGAAAATATCATCAGTTATTATTTAGGGCTAATTTAACAGATAATTTAACTTCAAACAACAATGATCAGGTCATTAAATTTCAGAGCAATGAGAAAATGAAAGAACTGAGAGACAACTCTCCATAACCCCATTACAGATTTTAGTCTTCGTGCTCAATCAACGGAATCAAAAACGTCTACGCAGGAAGATATGTTTTCACCTTAAACGCATTGATTCAAAGAATGAGACAATAGGAAGAGATGAGGAGGAATAAAGTTGAAGACGACGACTCCAGTTTCTGAGAGTGCCAGCGGAGTAGGCAAATTCAACCTAAGCCGAAAATGAACACCCAAATATGTTTGTTAATTAAATATTCCCTTTCATTCCAACACGAATCTCAAATCTGTAAATGTCCAACATGCTTTCCTCCTATGCGGCTTTTCTGCAAGATAGGGAAGATAGGACCGAAGATACGGAAAAAGATTACCTGTGCTAAGCAACAGACCACGAAAAAAAACGTGTGGCATTTTATTTTCCCTCTCACCCTCACAAACATAATTTGTGAGTTATTTGTTATCATTTTAAATGCCTTTTCTGATCACAACACTTTCAGAATGTCTGCCTACCTCAGGGTATGATAGAGGAGCTGGTGAAGAAGGTGTTGAATCATAGAAATTGAGTCTTACTTGCAGGGGAGGGCGGGTGAGGGGGGAGTCGGAAGTGGACCACCTCTGTTCTGCGTAGCCCTTCCTTCCCATCGCCTTTCCCAGACTGAAGATTACCGCCTGAGAACCTCCGCACTCGCGGGATACTCTGCCCACCGGAGTCCCGGCCTCCCTTTCGCCAACAACTGGCCGCCTTCAGTGCTCTTGGAATTCCCACCCCGAGGCTACCTCTTTCCCTGTGAGACTCCTCCACCTTGGACCACAGGCTTGGGCAGAGGGAAGCAAAATGGGATAGAAAGCGAAGGGGGAGTGGGGTAACAAGTGGAGAGGAGAAGAGATGTCCATTACAGAGCAAATAATTTTATCTACTAGCTGAGAAGTGCTGAGATCTGAAACCGCATCGGGTAAACAAAAGGCAACAACTTTGGGAGGCGAAAAAAGGTTGGGGGGAGGTGGTGGCACAGAGAAGATTAAGAAGAAAGGGAAAAGGTAGGGAAGCGCGCCAGCCAAGGTTCTGAAGTCACTATTCTTGGCATCAGCCAGTATGAGCTACCAAACGTACAGCTCTGCTTGTCCTGGGCAAGAGCGCCCTCACGTTGCTGCTCCCTGCGCAGCGCCCGGCTTCACGCTCTGCGGGGATCTCCGCCGCAACGTCCCGAGAGCTCCTCTCCTCCTCGGCCACCGCGCAGCCAGGGCGGCCCCAACTCAGCAGCTTAAGTTACTTCTCCACACCAGTTCAAAACCCGAGAAAACAACGCTGCCGCGTCCCTGCCACAACGACTTCAAGTCCCGCCATTATGCCACCTCTCCATCTTCACCCGGGAGTCCCTGAGGCGCCGGGAAGGCTAATTAATAGGACACCGCGACGAGAGTCCCAAATTCGCTTCGGGCCGAGCCAACCTGTGTCTGGCGCGTGCTCTCAGCCACTCTGGGACAGAGAGGCTCTCGAGCGTACTACCGAAGTCTCCTAAGTGTGCATTATGAATCAATTATTTGCCTGAGATTTCCAAAGCCAGGAACTGAGATATTCCCAGCAGGGACAAAGTCAAGCCCAGAACGGTGTTCATTTCCCTAGTCTTTCGAAGAGACAGAAGAGGAGACTCCCATACGCACCCAGTGCCTCGCCCGACCCGGAGCAGCCTGGCTAAATCCGACTGAGACCCTGGTGTGACCCAGGCCAAGGAGCTGGGGGCGGAGGGCCAGCTCTGGGGAAGGTTGGCGATGTTAGTGTACAAATAGAGAGAGAAGGGCGATCCAAAGAAGAAGAAGAACTTTAGAGAGAAGCAGGTTCTTGGCTCTGGAGAAAAGAGCTTTAACTGAAACAGGGATAGCTAATAACCCTGTGTTTGAGCGTTAAGAGCGTCCCGGAAGTTCCTGTAGCAACCATAAGACTCAGAAATCATATTTCCACGAAATGAATTAATTTACACTTTAGGACCTATTTCAGTCTCCCACTACCACTTCTCCGTATAATTTTTTCTCGTTTTCTCTCCATGTTCCTTTTGCCGTGTCTACATCCTTTTGAACTGGGGATTCACCGTGATTTCTGTCAACGTGGAAAAAAATGTGCATCCTTTCAGCTACGTCTGTTGGTAGTGAGCCTGCTAACATTTTCTAAGAAAAGATGAACACTTAAGGCCAGGACCCCAAAGTCAGGCGTTAAAACTCAGTCAAAAGCAGTCAGTTACACGTATTCCCTACCCCACCCCTTCCCCTCTGAAAAGCACTTTCACTTACGGATCTTTGCTGTAAGAGCGCTTCCAGTCCTGATATCCTTTTTCTCGGCATCCTTCGGACAACCTCAGGCAGAGCCTTAGGTGGTGGGGAAAAACAAAAACAAAACACAGTAGAAATCTGGAGGGAGACAAGAGGCACAAAACATAACAATACATCGTCTATTTGCCAGCCTGGAGCCCTCTTGGCCTACATACTAAGGATAAGGTCCCTAGAACTGACCGCTAGGGTGGGGAATGGGTGCCTTTGGGAGCCAAAATCTGAGGCTGATTATTTTAACTGCTGGTGATTGAGGGGAAAGGGCCCTGAAGGGAGGATAGAAAGGGGGAATGAATGGTATAGAGAAAAGAAATCCTTTACAAAAAAAAAAAAAAAAAAAAAAAGCACACAAAAGAAAATCTAGCATGAAGTACTAACTGGGAAAGATCTCTAGCACCTTTTAACTCTTACAGGTAGGTAGTTCTTAGGAAGAATGCAGATGTGTGTGCCCAAAAGAGAGAATCTAGATGACCTCTATTCTATCCGTATCTCCAGGATCTGGCCTTAAGTAGAAAAATAAAGAGGGGAAAATTTTAATTCAAGTTTCACCTACCCTGCTTGTTGGAATGGCTGTGCAGATTTTCATGCTGGAGAGTTCCATCTGTCTGGCAGAAGCTGAAGTGGTGTTGGGGGCAGGTTATCTGGTGAAGTAGGAATGTACAGGAACCCCGCCCTCTAGGCACAGTTACACAACCCCAGCAACCCATCTCAGCCAGTTCTAAAACCTCTAATGATCTTCACCTTCACCCTTTGTTAGTCTAATTCTCCAACAGGCTTTTAGTCTCAAACACAACCAGCCACTTTAGCTATTCATAAAATTAATTTCTCAAAAGCAAAATTTTCCCAATGCATGCAAATTCCTCAACAATATTGTAGAAAATACACTTTTTTTAGAAACCACACTTCTATAGACTTCTAAATATATTGAATTTATCCACATATTTGGGTGAAATATGCACCAGCTTAAATATATATTAAAATCAATATACTATGAGACTAAATTTTTGCCTCTCTGCCTTTGATTTTATGCAAGTCACATAAACTACCTGAAGGCTTCCCACAAATACCATAAGGATATTTGTATTAAACCTTGTTAGTTCTAGACTTTATGTTCATTTGGTTCCCAGTTTTGTAACAGGCTGAAGAAACATACTTGAAATAATACTTTAACTCCTCTAGTTCAATTACATCACTTTCTCAGTGTTTTACATATTAATATTTTTTGTTAACTTTACAACAGACAAATTCAAGTAAAATACTTTAAACCTGGAAATAAACTTTAATTTGGGATTTCAAGCTTTAAGTTGTGATGAGTTTCAGTTCCAAAATCTCACAAAGGACAACCTTCGTCTTATTAAAAACAATGATAAATATGAAAGAAAATAATCCTCAAAAGTTTTGAAGTGTATTTCTGACATAAACTAATTTTAACGGTCAAAGTTGGAGACAACAAATAACACAAGATTACAACCCGTTCGATGCAAAACTGTATTATATGCCACACCAGACTGTCATGTGTTTTTTGAGAAGATAAGTTGAGGGATGATAGGATAGGTCAAGGGAAATGAGATGTTCATACTAGGCTTCAGGAAGCCTTTACAAAGTTCTCTCTCCAGATATCCACCTTCATGTCTAGTATACCTAACAAACTTCTAATCATATCCATTATATATAATTTGGACATGGGTCCAAGCAGAACTTCCACTCCAGTACTTTGTTTCTATGAATTAAATCAGTTTTACTCTTGACTTCAAAGTATGATGTTCATCATTAAAATTCTATTTATCTGTCACCCAAATAAACACTTATAAACACAAATAAGTATACTTATTTAATGTGGCCAAAAAAATACTCAAGCAGGAAAACTTTCTTCTATATCTATATCCCTTTACCTTAGCACAAGAGTTCAAATTTCTTTTTAACGTTTGGTAAGCAAAATTCTATATTTCCCCTGTGTTAATACATTCTTAATCCACAAATAAAATCCATGGCAAAAGCAAACAATAAATCATCACCTTTTTTTTCAGCTTGGACACATGCTCTCTTTGAGATATTTTGATTCAAAATGTGTAATGGGGATTTCCTTTGCCTTAAACCATTCACTTGGACTTTATTACTATTTTTAATATCAGCCATAAATTTGGCTTTTAACACAATAATTTTTTGTGAAATGTTTTTATGCTTCATTCTGAATAACTTAAATTTCAAGAAAACTTGGACCTCTGGTGAAACTGTTTTTATACTAAGAAAATAAAATCATGTCTAATTGCTTAAAGGAGATAATTAAACTAGCTGTCTTGGTCTATTTTTGTCCATTCCCCATTTGTGTATATTTGGTTCCAGCTCTTTTAATTTTCCTGGCCCTTATACATCTTTCTTAGGCCTCTCTCTATCACTCGCCTTATCTCTCTCTCTCTCATGCATTCTTTTTGGTGGTAATTATTTTTTCACCATAAAGATCCTCTTTCCCTCTCTCCACTCCACAATCCACCCTCTTCTATTTTTCCAATATTAAGTATTCAGCATTTCAATTTCAAATCTATTCCAGTAAGCTTGCTTCTCCCTTAGGATTTTTTTTCCTCCCCCTGAGCAACTCTCTAAGTGTTTGCTGATAACATCTTAGGGCCAGATTATTTTTCACTGGGCCCATTGTAAGAAGTAACCAGCTTATTCCAATACTGCAGAACACATTTCAGACTATACAATTGTAACAAATGAACAACTTGTCTTCCACAGATTCACCACAGGATCCAATTAGTTACTAAACCTTTTACTAGGGTTTTCTAATTATATTCTGCAATTATAGCGATTGGGCTGCCTGAAACAACTCAAAAAATGTTTTCATTTTGTCTCACATATATACACATATACAGTATATGCATACATATGCATATGGAAAGTTAAAACAAAATTATGATTGTAAGCAAAAGGAACAAATCTCTAGATTGAATTACACAGACATTTAAAAGGGAATCAAATAAATACCTCTACACTGTAAAAATTAAAAAAAGGAAAGAGGCATTTTACTTCTGAATATCTAGAATTCTAAATTGTTATAATTTTAAAATAAAATATAAACATTGATCTGCAAATCATTACAACAGGTGATCACTTCAGCAAAATCTATATTGCAACTTCAGCACATCTTTATTAGAACTCTTTCATTGTGGGTAAACAGCCACAAAAATAAATGCTGACTTAGAAAGTATAAATACAAATATTTAAACAAAAATTTTGCAGCATTCATAGCGCAAATTGTACCTGAACTGAAGGGCTCTGTGTGTCTATATATATTACATATGTGTGCATTATATTCACTTCTATCTAACCATATACATATATTTATTTATAATTTGCCAAGCTCTATTAACAATATACCTGAAACAAAATATATAAAAGGCATTCTATTAACGGATTTGGAAATAAACAGAGGGTAAAAAGCTATGCACAGAAAATTAAATTATATCTCTTTTTGTTGTATATCCACAGAAACTTACAGGTATCAGCTGAAAAGCCTATACTTTGTTTAAAGCTAGGGTTTATTAAATAGGCTGCTCCTTGTAAAATTTGTTCACAAAGGGAAAAATACTATTTTCATTTTTAGAGTCAGTTCAAATTAAAGGAGCAGTTTAAATTTTAGTTTGGCTGAAAAAGCCTTTGAGTTCCCTATGACTTGATTGGTCTTTAAAAAATTAGCTCTACTTAATAAAAGAGACAAAAGTATCAAGATATATATGAATTTAGCCTATTTTTTATTTCTGTGTGTTCATAGTAAACATTTTTGTAAGTGACAAACACGGGCATATGACCACAGTATCACAATCAAGAAATTTTAAGACAACATTAACAATCACTCAAATTTATGCGGCATTTGCGCAACACAGGTTACATATTTGCAAGGTTTACCTATAAGTACAATAGGTATTAACATTTCACTACATTTAGAAAAAATAAAAGTGACCTGTTAGTGACCACATACATCAAAATATACACAACACAAACTGAAGGCAATCGTTAATTTTGTCCCCTTCTGATTCAATTGAATGGGCAGTGTTGCCAACTGAAACAACTTTCTTTTTTGTTTGTTTTAATACTTAGTATACCAAGTGCATTTTCTAGAACCCAATCTTTGGTCTAAAAGTAAACAAAAGAAAAAAAAAAACAGTTCTTTAAAGAAAAGGACAAAACAATAAATGGCCAAAATAATTTCTTGGGCACCTTTACTACGAATGCTTTTTAAATACAAATTACAGTTTAACATTTTAAAACTCTCCCCATAATTTAGGTTGTTCTCAAGGTCTGCGTCCACCATATAGTTCCATGATAACTTATAATACTGCACACATGGAAATCTGGCGGCTCTTAGAGATAGACTTGTCAGGTTTGAATGAAATGGCAAAGCAGTCACTATTTAGATACACATTCTACTATAATTTTGACTTCCAAACCTTATATTCTACAATGTATTCTCCCCACATTGCACCTCGCTGACACTCCACACCTTGTTAGAATAATAAACAACCCTAGAGACTGAACAAACGTACAGAAATGGGAGGGGGGGCTTAATAAAAAATACCTGGACTTATTTTTTTAATTATCATTTACAATGCAAATGTGTGTAAAACGTTCACTTACAGTCTGGTCCCAGGGATGTTAATGTATTAAAGGGTTGGAAGAAGACCCCTGATTTTGATGTGTGAAATAATCAGACAGTCCCCCGGACAGTCCCGTCGTAAAACTTGGCAAAGAGGGTCTTAAAGACTCACAGGGCAGGGTCGAGGGGGCCTGCGGAGACGTGGAGGAGGACGCGGCCCTGGCGCTCATGGACGTGCTGCTCTGCGAAGTCATTGACGGGTGCGGGACGTGGGGGAAAAAGTAACTGGTCTGGCCCGCGAGCAGGTTGACGGAGCAGGGGTTGAGGGAGTAGGTCCCGGAGCAGGGCACCGACAGGCCGCAGGGCACCGAGGCGGCGAGTGCGGCGGCCGTGAGGTGGTGCGTGGCGTACGGGATCTCCCCGTTGACCAGCCGGTCCACGCTCAGGCCGTTGGCCGTGGAGAAGGAGTGGTTGTTGCCCAGCGAGTTCTGAGTCAACACGGAGCTGTAGGGCATGGGGTGGCTGGGGTAGGCCGACGTGGTGCCGTTGTAACTCAAAGTGCTGCTGGCGCGGGGGTGGTGCAGGGACAGGAAGGGCGACATGGGCCAGTAGAGGGAGCCGGCGCGGTCCATGAAGGTGAGGCCGGTGGAGGTGAGGCGCGCCCCGCGCTTGAAGGCCAGCTTGGCCCGCGAGGTGGTGGAGCGGCGCCGCAGCTTGCCCGTGGTGCCACCGATGAACACGTCGTCGCTCGACGGGTCCAGCATCCAGTAGTTGCCCTTGCCCGGGTCGTCGTAGTGGCGCGGCACCTTCACGAAGCACTTGTTGAGGGACAGATTGTGGCGGATGGAGTTCTGCCAGCCCTGTTTGTTCTCGCGGTAGTAGGGGAAGTTCTTCATGATGAACTCGTAGATGCCATTGAGCGTGAGCCGCTTCTCGGGGCTCTGCCGGATGGCCATCATGATGAGAGCGTTGTAGCTGAACGGCGGCTTCTCGTACTTGCCGTTCTTCTTCTCGCCCTCCTTGCCCCCCTCCCCGTCCTTGCCGCCCTCGCCCGCCCCCTTCTTCTCCTCCCCCCCAGCGCCGGCGCCCTTCTCCTTCTCGTCCGGCCCGACGGGCGCCAGCTCCCCGGGCCCGCCGCCTGGCTCGCCCTTGCCGCCCAGCCCGTCCGCTTTGGCCCCGTCCAGGGCGGCGGCCGGTGGTGGCGGTGGCGGCGGCGGGAGCAGCAGCTGCTGGGGGCCCTTGTCGTCGTCGGCGGCCGGGGCGCCCCGCGTCTGGGGGGGCTGCGGTGCCGGGGGCGGCGGCGGCGGCGGCTGCTGCTGCTGCGGCGGCGGCGGCGGTTGCGGGGCGGGCGGCGGCGGGTGGTGGTGATGGTGGTGGTGGTGGTGGTGGTGCTGGGGGTGGTGGCTGTTGTGGTGGCCGTGGCTTGCGTGGTGGTTGTCGTTCTGGACCGCCTCGGGCACCAGGCTGTTGATGCTGAACGAGGACTTGGGGATCATTTTCACCTCTTTCCTATCTCCCATGTCCAGCATCACCCAGTCGTCGGGGGGAAACGGCGGCGGCGGCGCGGGAGCGGGACAGCGGCGCGGCGGGCGGCGGCGACCGGTGGGTGCCGAACGGGGCGCGGGGGGCGCGGGCGGCAGCGGCGGCACTGAGCGCTCCGGCAGCAGCGCAGTTGGACCGCAGGCTCGGGCGCTGGCAAGTCATGTAGCAAAAGCAGCAACCACCCCTCAGGAATTAGAAAAAAAAAAAAAAAAAAAAGGAAAAGAAAAAAAGAAAGAAAGAAAACCACCGCCCCGGGGGTGAAGCTCCCTCGCTCCCAACTGTACTTCTTGGTCTCCCCCCCCACCCCCCGCTCCCCCCCCCGCTGCTTCCTCCTCCTCCTCCTCCTCTCGCAGCAGCAGTCACAGCAGCAGCAGCAGCAGCCCAAAGGGGGGGAGAGCCGGGCGGCGGGCGGGCGCGTCCCGGAGCGGCCGCGGCGAGGCTGGGGAGACAGCGATCGAGGCGGCTATAGCCACAATTAATTTTCCGAGCTACAGGCGCACACTAGGGCTGTAAAAAAATTTTTGGTTTAACCTTTCCTACCGCTGGGCCAATCAGAGCCGGCGGCGTGCGGGAGCGTCTCTCTCGCCGTCGACCAATCGGAGGGGCCGGGCCCACCCACCCCCGCCCCGCCCTCCGGCTGCCGCCCCCTCGGGCGCTCGCCTCCCCCTCTCCGCGGGCCTCGGACCCCGCGGCCGCGCGGAGCCGCGTAGGGATACGCCGGCGGGAGCACGCGGTGCCGCAGCCCTTCGCTGCGCCCCCGCCACCCCCTCCACCCAGCCGGCTCCGCTCCACCGAAATTCCTCTCCTAGGGCCAATAGCTCACATTTCCGGCTTCCTCCTCATTGTACTGGGTCATTTTCGTTTGAGCGTCAATATTTGTCCTTAGTGATTAAAGTTTGTATCCAATTTTATTTTTGAAAGCGGGGGTGGTGGTGGTGGTAGGGGGAAGAGTGGGAGTGCAGGGAGAGGATGCGAGAGGGCAGGAAATGGAGGAGGTAGAGGCGAGGCACTACTTTTCCTAGTCGGCCCTGCAGGCCCATGTCTGGCATTTCTGAGCCAGTAGGAAAATTGTGCCCTTTGTAGGTAATAGTCTAGCGCAGCTTTGGATAAGGGGGGAGAGAAGGCCCACCGCTGGCGTGTGTGCGGGGGGTGTCCTTTACTTCGGGGAGAAGGGTGTGGGAGAGCTTTGGGAGCGATGAGATGAGGAGGAGGAAGTGGGCAGAAGAGCGCGGGGCCAAACAGGGGTTACTTACTCGATTCCCGAGGCCTGGGCGGCGGCGAGCTCCGGGCTCCGGCGCCGCGGGGAAGCCGGGCCTGGGGCTCCGGGTGCAGCTGCGGCGGGCCGGGGCCGCTCAGTAGTGGGCGCCTCTGATGGCCTTCCGAAATGAGAGGTGCCCAGAGAGAAAACAGTACCAAACAATCTCGAAATAAATCAGGTAACACATGCTATATACGTGTGTCTCTTCCTTTTCCTTCTCTCCTGCTCCAGACCGTCGCTCACGCTTGGGGTGACTCGATGTCGTTTTCTCCTCGCCGCTCCAGCCTCAGCTTCTAATCCGAATTGGAAGCGGGTAGCTGCGAGCGATCACCCTGGAAATATTTTCGTTTTGCTTGTTGACATTGGAGGGAAAATAAGGGTGGGCGTCTATTTCTTTCCGGTTTTTTTTTTTTTTTTTTTTTTAAGCCTTCCTATTTTCACTCCCTCTTTTTTTCTTTCCGTTTCTCAAATGCTTTTATTTTGTGCGGGCCTCATTCCTGAAATAACAGTATACTGAAGCCATCTCTTGCCCACCCTGAGTGCTGTTGGAAAGCACCGGGGAGCCTTGGGAACGTGGATCCCACAGTCCCAGCTTCTTGGGCTTTGGAACTGGGAAGGTTCGGTTGAACGTTGAAGTGAATGGGGAAATTGCGAATCGGGGGCTTTAAAAGGATCCCGTGGCCAGGGGCAGGGCTAAGGCCCAGCATTTCCCAGGGATTGGAATTTAGTGGGGAGCACATTGATCAAAGGCTGTTTCATCCCACATGGGCACGAAACATACCACATTTTACGGAGGATGTAGCCCCAGAGGGAGGTGGAGGAGAAGCATAAATGAAAAGCACCTTTTCCTTCCTCTAGAAGGTAAATAATTATAAAATGTAAGCATTTCTTCATTTTGATAAACTCTCATTAAGATATCTGGCAGATTTGTATTTAAGAAAACGAAGGAAGGAAAATTGGCGCTTATGCTTGATGCTAAAGTTAAATTGTAACATAAAGAATGCGACTGATGAATACTCTGGATAATAGAGGGTTATTCCATCTTCCCCACCCCCAAGTCTTAAGAAAGAGAGAGAGAGAGAGAGAGAAAAGGTTGGGGCGGGGGGTGGGGGGAGGAAACTAGAGAGAATAATAGATAATTACAAATAGCTAGTGAATTTTAAATATGCATCTTTCAGGAATGCCACAAAGGAGCTTTGAATATTGGACTAACCTCAAATGTCCTTCCACTGTATGTATGTATCTTTTCCTTTGTCTACATATCTTCTCATTTGAAAACAAACTATTTACATGTGGAAAAATTCAAGGGTTCCAGCAATCGGTGTTGATAGTGACATGGCCCCAAACATTGATTTCCAAGCTCTGGATTTCTCGCAGGGCCGGGTGAGCTAATGGGCTTTGCCTACCGGCTGGAGAGATCTGTGGGCCTTCCCCTTCCTACTCACTTTTCCTCCTCCCACTCTTCTCCCCTCCTCAGGCCCGTTCTTCCTACTTTTCCTCAACTCTCCTTCCTCCCTCCTCCCTCCTTCTCCCTTAGCTCCCCCCACCTCTTCCCCCCACCCTCCATTCCTCTGTCTCTCCATTCCTCCACCTACTCCTCCCAATTTCTCCCCCTACAGCCCCCCTTCTCACCACCACTTATAATGGCACACAGGGCTCCCTCTGAGGTGGACGGCCCGGTACGTTTTCGTAGTCGGTCTAGCGTGAAATGATTCGGTGTAACCGGATTCTTGGGAAAGGACAGGTTACGTAAACATTTACTGATGTGGAGTAACTATACTATTTGTACTCTGATATGCAGGAAGGAAAGTGTTGATTAACACAGAAGAAAAAAAAAACGAAATTAGCTGATTGCATGCTCATAAGTGCAAGCTGTCATTGAACTGCTTTTAAAATAGACACAGCTGGGTGTTTGTGTTGAAAAATTTCTTGTGTTTTTGCTAATACTGAAATAAGCATGATTTTGTATACCAAACATTTTCAGATCATTAAAATTTGTAATCTGTGCTGGTTTTAAACACAAAGAAAAGAAACAGAATCATTTCGATGTAAAATTTGCTGATATTATATTAACTCAATCAGGTCTGTACAAATTGTGCATTGTGCCTCCTAAAATCTGTTTGATCAATTTAATACACAAAGTGCCAAACGTGGGTATTGTTTGTTAACATTGGACATTTTATTCAAATCCAAGCTCAGCAGCAAACTGGAGGAGCTTTCCTTCAATACACCAGCTCTGACTGATGAATTTTTAATGTTTTAAGGTGTTTCTTAGGTCAAAGCTGAGCGTGCATTGTTTTGTAATCTTGTATAAAATTTTAGCAGGTGGAAATAAGTTTTTCTTCTGTTTACTTTCAAATAGCAAAAACTGGGGTTCGCTAATGAGCACTGTAATAATCTGATTTTATATGCTAGGAGCTTATATTGACTGGGAAAATGTTTTTCATTCAAATTAAGACTATGTTATATAGTTTAAGGATTGCATGAATGCAAGTCTCTCAAAATAGGATATTATAGACATAAATAGTATATAGTTTAATATTTAAAAATCTATTCTTCCTAATGACAAAAGTTATTTGTAATCTGGCAAGAAGTGAGTTTTAATTCCTTTTAATAATTTCAATTGCACTTTATGTCGAGACGGTGATATATGTGTATATATATATATATAGCTTGTTCAACAAAACATGCACTGTTTACTCAGTGCCCCGTGTTTGTCTCAGCAATAGCTTTTTAAAAGAACTGCTACTAGCTGAAATGGAGGGGGAGGGGGGCCCTGGACAGAGTATTGTGCAAGTTGAAAGTCTCTGGATGGGGCTTTGTATATCTTACCGGCCAATTTGGGTGCAAATTGGATTTGAAGGCCTGCCTCTGTCCACCTCGGGCCTCTTCCCTAAGCACTTGAAACCCAGTCTTCAGCCCCACTCAGTCACCGTGATTACCTTCAGAAGACAGAGGGAATCCAGTTGTCTCAGACCTGAAACAAATTCTCTATCATTCTAATTTTTTTCTCATGACGGATGTAACCTTGATCTCTTACACAGACATCTACAAATGTGTACTATTAATGAGTAAAAGCAGAAGTCAAAGTAAATGTAATTTTCTGGTATATATCACAGTAAACTTCTCTCTTGCTCTGTCTGCAGTCCCCAGCTCCCCCAAAGAGGTCAGGCCCTTTAAAGAGTGAGCAGTTCCAATGGAAGAATTGCTTAGGAAATGAATTAGATTATTCCTTCTGGAGTTTTAATTAATAACCAAGGCTCCACAGCATACTTTATCTAAGTAGGGAGCAGAACATTTCATTTTTCCATTTGGCAATGTTATTTAAGTCTTCTTTAGGGCCTCTCCCATTTTTGTTCAGTGATTCTCCTCTTCTTCTTGCTAGCTGCTGATTAAATGAAGGTGGGCCCCATTTACCTAAAATCCACTCTGCTCTCCATTCCCTGGACAGGGTGTCCTTGGAGTGGCACCCAGCGCCAAGCTCTAGCTGAAGTTCTCTTCCTGCAGATGCACAGAGAATTTCTGACCTTGTGACGTTTGGGAGTGAGGAGATCCCATATGGAGGCATCCAGGTATTTCCAGAGATCCTGTGGCAGGTGAGGTCTGCCCCGGCTGGAGCCAACTCGTCTATAATATCTTCCTAACAGCAGGTAATGGTGCTAACATTTAGTGATTAGAAGTTACTCTTTAGCGTGTTGTATCCTTGTTCTGTGGGTTTTGGTTACAGGTTATACGATTAGGTTTGCAAGAACAGTAGTGAACTAAACTTCTCAGTAAGAGGTCTTCACACCAGGGAAGTGTTACTTTTCTGCAGCAGCCCTGCCTCGTCACTCATTAGGGAGCTGCAGGTTGTCAGCGGCTGCTCTCAGCGCGCGCACGCGCACCCTCAACGTCCCCGGGGGCGCGCACATTCGTGCGTGTGTGTACACACACACACACACAGACACACACACACACCACTAAAACTAAATTAAGAAGCCGATGATTAAGACAAGCGTCTACTAGGCCTGTCATTTCAGCATCCTTCCATCATAACATTGTGGCACCGGCAATTTTGCTTGAGAACCTCGAGTAAAAAAATCTATGGGAGAGCCTCATCTACGAGAGTGGAAATGTTTAGCTTGTATAAGCTAGGGAGCCACTTCAAAAGCGAGAAAGTCCAAGGCGAAGAAGAGGAGCAGGAAGAGGAAGAGGACAAGGATGAGGATAAGGCCTTGACAGAGACCTCTGGGACTCTCCAGGCAAGTCTCTGTGATGCTGCCAGGTGTTCCAGGCTTTCTGAAGCCAAGTACATACGCAGCCAAAAGAAAAGTCCCGTGATCTTCAGCAAAATGTGCATGGGAGAAGCTTTGTCCCGACATTACCCAAGGGGGAGAGCCAGGTGTGGAAAGATCCATGATAAAATATCAACAGAGAGCCAAGGGACTTTAGTCTCTGGAAAAACTTCTCAGTCGAATACTCTCTACATGTCTTGTAAACATTTTAAACATAATGCCCACCACCCTTTTACTTGTTTCGCGTTATTTGTCCTTGCCCTCCAGAGGGTGAGTGATTTGCTGAAGGACCTGAGTCCCTGATAGTGTGAGGGCAGACCTGCTCTGTTTTTAGACCTGATTCAGTTGTGAGAAATGGTCCCTCACAGCCTGGGGAAGTGCCCCTGAGAGGCCAATTCCTATTTTTCCTCTACTTGCCCAAGGAAATGGTGTAGTCAGTCTTTCAAAGGAGATAAGGGAAGCTCCACAAACAACCACAACAGAGCACAACAAAACAAAACAAAGAGTTGAAGGGGTGTTGGTGAACTAGAATGAAGGAGGCTAGAGCTCAGGTTCTTAGTTTTAACCCCCAGCTCTATCCCATAAGGGAGAAAGTGAGACTTGGCAAAAGCCATTCCACAAAACAATACTAACTTGGATTTTCCATCAGTGGGGTACCAAAAGAGGAAAAAAGAAAATAACTTTATAAATATATATCAAGCGGAAAGAAAAACTTACAGGGCTAAAAATGCTGGGCTAAGAGTTGGAGCTCCTAACCCATCACTGTTCTTAATTAGTTGGAGCTTCAATGTGATTTCTAGTAGAAGCCTCAATCTTCTTCCGGAAGTGTTACAGGACCTTTTTGAGAAGGTGTGTGTGTGTGTGGTGGTGGGGGTGGGGTGGGGTGGTGAACCAAGACTTCTCTTTTGAAGCACACCTCCAAATGGTCCCCCAAATTCCAGTTGTGTGAGAAAAGATGGAAAGGTGTGACTCCCTCGCAATTTTTAGCCGATCACCTTTGAACTAGTCACCGCTCAATAGTTACATGTACACTGAAAACACTGAACATTGCCAGGTCCGTTTATGAGATTAGTAAGTATCTTACAGGAAATGCTTGCACCCACTGAAGGTCTGAAAGAATGAGAGGAGAGAAAACTTCATGAGTGGAGTAGGCAAGCCAGAAAGCACGCAGAGAACCCTTCACCCCAAAGTCTCCCTTCGCATGGGGAAAGTAATATGTACTAAAAAGACCTATCTGCTTTCTTTCAAAAAGCCTGCGTGGACAAACCAATGGGCAAGTGTTTACTTTGTGCGCATCTTACACCCACCTGGCCCTCAATCTCCCGTGTCGGTTCCAGTAGGTCTTCCTACCCCAACCCTCGCTCCTCCCCCGCGCCCTTTCTCCAACACCAGGCCTTGGAAAATCTGTTGGAGCAGCGTTTCTCAAAAGGTCCAGCTCTTCTCCCTCCCCTGCCTTTCCTCTTGAGGCTGTAACTTCGAGGGTTCCCTTCCAGGAGCTTCGCGGAGCTGGGGCTCCGAGGTCTGCCCGCCGCTGCTCCCTGCGCATACCCGCGAGCTTGCCCTGCGCTCCTTTGTTGCAGACGCTTGCCGAACGCAATCTAGCCAGAGGCCTTGATTCTAGGCGTCGTCTCTCTAGATGTCCCCCCTTAAAGTTGCCTTTTCAACCTAGGTATCTCGTTTTTTGGCACATTAGGCCGGATATATACCAAATCAATTTTGAGCTAAGAGGTCATCTGCCACGGTAAACGCGGGGATACAGAAAACACTTAAAGGTATCAACCCTGTATTGCTATAAAGCACATCTCAGCGTTAAAAGACTGGGGTGCATGCAGGTGACGTTAATTCGAATATTCAGTTACATGTAAGGGGTATTGAACCCAGTCGGGGAGAACAGTAATACCCATATTTCTCTCCCGCTCTTTGGAAGGAGTCGCCTGCGGGGAGGAGAGGAGAGGACAGACTAAGCTACGCGTAGAGCGGCATCAGGAGCAAGTTACCGTTATCATGTGTAAACAAAACAACTCGACTCCTCTGTGTCAGAATCAACAACATCAAAGGTGTCTGTGGGGGGTCATTTTTATTTTTAAAACAGTCCTAGATTCTTGTTCAGCAATTTTAGTATCTTCCTTCTGGGTTTGTTCTAAGGCATGCAGGAGAGAAAAGTAACGTTCGAGAAAAAAGCTGGGTCGGCAAGTTTGGCTCCGGAGCCTATGAACTATGAATCACCGCGGTGAAGAGATTTTCTTTTTCTTTTTCTTTTTCTTTTTTTTTCTCACCCTCTTCTTTTCTCCTGGAGCGTGAACTTGTTAAATAAGAGAGATGAGGCTACAAGGAAATGGAAACGCTGAAAAAGCCCGACTCCTTTGGAGAGCAGCCTGTGCGGCTGGCAGGCGGCTGCCGCGCGCCCTCCCCCAGCTGAGGAGCACCGGGGCAGCTCCGGAGCGGTCCCAACTTGGGCCTCCTCGGCCCCACCGCGGGGCCAGACATCACGCTCAGATCGCTGCCTTGGCCATGTTACCTTTTGGCCATAGAATACACACCCCGAAAGACGAGAGAACGGCCTCTATTTGAGCTGAGTGTCTGCTCTCCCGCTCGAAACACAAAACAGGGCCCGCAGCTTTTCCTAGAGGGAGTCCCAATCACAAAACAGTCGGAGAGTGGGAGACGCTAGAGAAGTCTGGAATTACAGGTGAAAGATTATTTTCCTAATTAATTAAAAATAATTCTCTTTTCCTATTTATAAGCATACACACGCTACTGATTACACGTCCCTATTTACCTGAAAAAAAAAAAATACTTGGAGTATCTTTAGTACACAATGCTCATTCTTTGTCCCCTTGAACATTTACAGCTGATAATGTGGCTGGTTGGGATCAATTAGCACTGGATTTTGCCCCAGGATTGCTCCCCAGGGCGGACAAGTGGAGCCAACTCATCTCCAGCGACTTTTTCTTCGCTCACGTGCATATCCACGCCAGGGCTTCAGAAGCATTTCAAAATCCCCAGCCTTGGTTTCACTTGATTTCGTTGTTGTTATTGATAAACATTGGGTCATACACAAGCCACTTGTCAGAGCCTTTGGCTCCATCTCGAAGCTGCAGCTCCTAGCGGGACGTTTGAGTCTTGTGCTAGGAACTGGAAGGATTTACTGGGAAAAGAATTACACATTCTCTGCTCCTTCAGTTTTGGAGATGGTCCCTTAAATCATATCACATCGTCTGTCTGCTTGCTGTCACATTTATTTCTTGATTATTCCGATATGTGAACAATGGGAAGATGTGTGCATCTTTTCCCCCATCTTTTTAAAACAATTATTGAAATGGTTTAAAAAGGGGGGAGGGGAGAAAGTATTGATCCCAGTCCTTTCCGTATATTTGGAACCAAAAGAGCATAGGCCAATAGATAATTGTTTTAATTGTCGGGGTAGGGGGTGGGTTGGTAGGTAGGACCTTTGGGTTTTGTGTAATTGGAGTAATAAATGCAGTTTATCTTTTAGCTCCGCTGTATATATTCTTTCCCTTGATACATATTGCACATGAGCTGAACCCATGGTCTACTTGTCTTAGCATGTTTGAAGCCCCAGACACCCAACAGTATCATTACAGGAAAGAGACAAAGCCCCCAAAGACTCCAGGCAGGGAGGTGACTGCCTTTGGGGCCAATGGGGAATTTATCTTGACGTTGAACTATTCTAGGAAGTGCACCCACTCGCTCAGACTCCCTTGCTGCGCAGAGTTCAGGTCTTCCCCGTGCTGAAGTGCGGGGAGGAGGTGTGGAAAAAAAACAGCTGATTTTTGACATTTCAAAGGGACTCTTTCTATTTATCAGTGTTACCGAAGTGTACGTTACTGGAGAAACAACAAAACAAGCATAGAGCTGCAATTTTCAAGAAAATAGGATCCCCAAATATAAAAATAAAAAAGTAGCAGATAAGATGTATAATTCAATCAAATTACACAAAATTGCTTGAAAATCTAGAACAGTAGCGATCCATTATGCCTCTGTTTTATTAGTGACAAGTACAATTACTCTAAAATAAAGAACACTGGTGAATATATAATTGGCTGTAATCATGTTAGTGTTTGAATAAAAATGACGGGAACATTTAACACTTTGACAACAAAATGTTCAGAAATAACTTATTTATTCAAACAGTTTTTATTTTCCACCAAGTGAAGGAGAAACACAGTTTGCTTAGGAAAATCAATGACTTTTCCCTGCAATAAATAAATATCCAAAAGGGGGAAAAAACAGCCCCATACCTCTGTATTATTACTGTTATTATTTTTAACCAGCAAGAAGCTTAATCTTGTGTTTGAAGTCAGCGCTTATCTAGCGGTTGTTTGGTACCGAAGTCCGCCACCTAGAGGAAGAGC